CCGGCACCCTGTACATGTCTTATATATGATATAAGACATTTCTGTGGAACTTGGTGAAAAAAGGATGTCATGTGACGTGATTCGGACTTAAATTGCAAAATTTATGATTAAAGAAGTTTTGAAAACATTTAATTGATATCGAGACTTAATTTGATGTTCATGATGTTATTTTGATGATTTGATTACACGAGTAGGTCCATATGATGATTTTGAGTTAGTTTCACACTTGGTTTGGAGTTCTGAGGGCTCGGGTGAGTTTCGGGTAGGTTCGGGATGTTTTAGACTTAACACAGGAAGTTGCAGGTCTCTGAACCCGCCAGTGCGGTCCGCACAAAACGTGTGTGACCGCGGAAGAGGGCCAGTGCGGTCCGCGGTCGGTTTCGGTCAGTGCGCGGTGGAGGCCTGTGCGGCCACAGTCCATTTCGTGCGGTCCGCACAGGGCACTGGACCGCAGTACCTCAGGAAGGCCTGTGCGGCTGCAGTCCATTTTGTGCGGTCCGCACAGGGGGTCTGAGAGGGGTATAAATAGACGAGATTTTCAGTTATTTTTCATTTTTCAAAACCCCAAAAACATAAGAGGCGATTTTTCAAACAACCTTTTTTCTCCAAATCAATTGTAAGTCATTTTTAACTAGTTTTCTTCAATCATTAACATCTTTTAACATGATTTCAACTTCAAATCAATGATTTTCATGGGGGAAATTGGATGTTTTGGGTAGAACCTAGATTTTTCAAAAAAAGGGGATTTGGACCTCTATTTGAGGTCCGATTTCAAAACAAATTACATATTTGAGCTCGTGGGGGAATGGGTAATTGGGTTTTGGTTTGAACCTCGAGTTTTGACCATGTGGGCCTTGGGAAAATTTTGACTTTTTGGGTAAAACTTTGGAGAACTCATTTTCAAGGATTCAAATTGATTCATTTAGCGTTTATTGATGTAATTAAGTAACATGTGGCTAGATACGAGCGAATTGACGGAGGAATCAAGGGGTAAAGCTATAATTGAAACTTGAGTTGTGTTCGAGGCATCGAGGTAAGTATTTGGTCTAACCTTTGCTTGAGGGATTAGGAGTTGAGTCTTATTTGCTATGTGATAATTGTTGAGTACGACGTATAGGCATGGTGATGAGTATCTATGTGTTGGTGTCTAACATGACCGTGAGTCTTTAAATTTTGATGATCTTGATTTCGTTATATCTTTCATGCCTTGGTGAGGATTTCTAAGTGTTGTGAAAAGTTTGTGGAAGGAATTGTAACCTTTGAACATCAAGGAGCATTGGCTCAAGTTATATTATGAATTGTGAAAATATATGAGATGATTGAACCCTTTGGAGCATTAGCTCAAGTTATATTATGAATTATGGAAGTATATGAGATGATTGAATCCTTTGGAGTATTGGCTCAAGTGGTAAAATGAGTTATGAAATAAAAGTGAAAGAAAGAGAAATAGTTATTAAATTGTCCCCTTGCCGGGATATTGTTGCTTTGTTGATTATCTCCCTTGCCGGGATGTTGAGATTATTGATGTTGTTCCCTTGCCGGGATTTAATTATTTAACTGTTGTTCCCTTGTCGGGATCTCTTTTACTATTTTGTTTATTCCCTTGCCCCTTTGCTTATGATTGTTGTTTGGGTGAGGAGGAGTGTTAAAGCACGAAAGGTGATGTCGTGCATTGTTTGCTATTGTGAGGAAAGAGTGTAAAGCACGAAGGGTGATGTCATGTCGTACGATGTACCATTCCGTACCGATTTTCATTGATTATATGGTGAGGAAAGAGAGTAAAAGCACGAAGGGTGGTGCCAAGCACCTCTTTATTATATGATTGATTTGGTGAGGATGAAAGTAAAAGCACGAAGGGTGATGCCGTGCACACTTTTATTATAAAATTGCTTTGGAGAGGACGAGAGTAAAAACACGAAGGGTGATGCCGTGCAAATTGTTGATTTCTGATTCTTTGTTGATATTCGAGTTATGTGTTTCTTTCCTTACTTGATACTTTCTATTCAGAACTGTTATCTCCCCACAACATGTTTTCCTCTCCCACATTGACTGGTTATTTCCTGTATTTCTTTTGCGCTGTATATACATTTGTGCTGCACAGGTTTATTTGGTAGTCTGGTCTTAGCCTCGTCACTACTTTGCGGAGGTTAGGCTAGACACTTACCAGCACATAGGGTCGGTTGTACTGATTCTACACTCTGCACTGTGTGCAGATCCAGGAGCAGCTTTCGGACATTAGTGGGAGTGCTTCTTTCAGTCCACCCGGAGATCCAAGGTAGACTGCAGTCGTCCGCAGGCCTTGGCGTCTCCCTCTATCTCTACTTCCTATTTCATTCTCTCTTATTCGGAAACAATATATTGTTATTTCTTCAAACCTTGTATGTAGAATTCTTAGATAGTCTGTGACACTGTGACATCAGGTTTTGGGTATTTGAGGTTTTAAAAGTTGTAATAGACGTAGACTTAAGATATTTAATTGTTGACTTCCGCTAAATTATTTATGTTCCGTTGTTATCATGTTATCACCTTATGTTTGTTAAAATGAAACAATATGGAAACGTAGCAAGTAGTTAAGGTTTGGCTCGCCTAGCTCCCATTTGCAGGCACTATCACGACCCCCGAGGTTGGGAAATCCGGATCATGACATAAAGTTGGTAGATAACATGCCTATAGGGTTCATTTTGGTTTAAATGCGTTTGTTAGATAACATGCCTATAGGGTTCAAATGTGTTTCGTTAGATAACATGCCTGTAGGGTTTTGCTTTGGTTTAAATAAATTCTGCCTGCTTTACGTAACATGATTAGAGATCACGCCTATAGGACTAAAATCAGTTTTATTTAGAAATCATGCCTATAGGATTTGAAATCAGTTTTGAGTAGAGATCATGCCTATAGTATCTAAAATCAGTTTTAATTAGAAATCATGCCTATAGGATTTGAAATCAGTTTTGAGTAGAGATCATGCCTATAGTATCTAAAATCAGTTTTAATTAGAAATCATGCCTATAGGATTTGAAATCAGTTTTGAGTAGAGATCATGCCTATAGTATCTAAAATCAGTTTTAATTAGAAATCATGCCTATAGGATTTAAAATCAATTTTTATTAGAAATCATGTCTATAGGATCTAAAATCAGCTTTAATTATAGAAATCATGCATGTAGGTTTGAATCAGTTTAATCAATTATCCTACTCGTTTCTTTAATAGCCTTCAGCGCCTATCTTGTTATTGGCTGATAGTGCTATGAGCACTGGCCTTTTCCAACCTTGAAAACCTCTGCCATCAAAGACAATATTGACAAGTTGCATCCCTGGTGCATCGAGAGAATGAAGAAAGTAAGCATGCTTGGAATCGATAGTTGATATTCCGCCACTGGTCTAAGATTCACATAGAAGAATAAAAGTGATGATGATGGATCGACCTTATTGCTCTGATACCATGAAAGAATACTGTAGAGAAAGCGGTGGGGAATTTTTTGTGTATTTCATTTATCAAATTTACATGTATTTATACACATAAAAAGAATCAAAAGCTAAAGCTACGGTACAGGTGTACTATTTCTGTATGTGTATTCCTAACTAACCATCTAATATGCAACAATTTTAAAGAAAATGTGTGTGCACTGTCACGTGTTCACATGCACAAAGAATAATTTAGAATTGGTATCCTAAGTTGACAGATGTGCCTAAGCAACAATGATGATTAAGTGAATCCATATGTGATGAGCGTTCGAGATTAAAAGTCTTCCTATGTATTGGACGGGTCAGATCTCTTACATCATGAGAGAATAAAAGACTTTGGTCACACCGACCAACGTCATTCTTGTTCAGACCAAGCCCTAAATCCTCTCTCTTGTTCTCTTCTTTTTCATCTAAATCCTCCAAAGTAGACGTTGAACAACCAGCTCCAACAAGTACATTGAGGTATCATTGTGAAAGGATTTAGTAGGAAGTGGTGACTTCGAGTAATACCTTTCAGTTTGATCCATTTACTTGTGAATGTTTCCAAATATACTAGAATTACTAACCATTTGACCATTTAATTACTTATGCTTACATTAAGTTGGTATTGTTACTTTACAGGAGTAGCATATTTCCCGCATAGAAGGATCAAATACATGTATTTTAACATACTGAAGGTTAAATATTCAGAGTCAAATATTACAAGGACCAAAATTTTATCAATAATTGAGGGACCTAAATTGTTATTATTCCTAAATATTATATTCACTTTTTACTGTTCTTATTTATAGGCTTTTCAGATACTTAGAGTGAAATGGTAGGTATGCTAGATATCATTTGCATTTTGCTTACTAAGAGTTTCTATGGTATAAAGTTTTGTATATGCTTACATTAAGGAATTCTTATTATTCCATGTGTTCCATTTTATGTTACACGATTTGGATGCAAGGTCAAATTATTTAATTGTTCGTGTGAAATTCAGATATAGAATTTTTAAATTTTTTTTAAACAAAAATTTGTATACTTAAAAAATACATAAAAACCACTATCAGTCAGAATTGTTTACAATTCAAAATATTTAAAAAGTATTTGAAAAATCAATATCAAAGAAAAATTATTTTACACTTAAATAATGATTGTGTCACATATAGTGGTAATAGAGGGAGCATTTTTCTTAGCACTCATTCAAAGTCTATCCAATTCAGATGCTTCAAAGTAGTAAACTTACACGAATAAATTAAAGTACTACTTTGTATACATACACAAGAGTACAAAGATCGATCACCATCATAAGCAGTAAGTAAAAAAAATGATGAATTCAACAAACATGACATTTATTATTTTCTGGAGAAAAAAAAAAAGGAACCGCTGGTTGGTTTTGAATCCCATACTAGATTATTATTTTGGATGGGCTGCAAAGTAGGTTTGAATACCTGCTAGAACTGTATCAGCCACTTGTAAAAGAATGAAAAAAATTGCTGCAATAAATGCAACAACAGTCCATGGGCTTTTAAAATGAGTGTTCTTGCACTCAGCAACTCACTCAGCAATCCATATTTTTCCTTTGTTATTGTAATGATTCTCAATTTTGTGTTTCACATCAATAAAGGCATGAGGATTTGGCACCAAATCTGTTGCTATCTCATTGAAGAGATTTGCTACTTCTTGATCACTTCCAAGAAAGTTAAGTAATATACCTTTTGACGTAAGCTCCTTAACATCTTCAGCACGATCAATTAGTGAATCCATAAAGCAAAGATAAGATGTAATACCAAAGTCATCTGGTGTATCAGGGCATGCCTCATATGCAACTAAGTTTAATAGCTCCGACTTGGTTGAATCATCTATGGTTATAGGTGGAAGTGTTAAAAGAGCTGAGAAACGGAATGAATTGAACTTAATATCTGAAAGACGACGACTCTTTCCACGCCTGAAATATATTCCTGCTTTCTTGAGCTCCATGGCTGAGCGATATGAGCACCACTCACCCCTTAGATAGTATCCGCCTTCTGAGAAAACATTTGGGTTTATGAGTTGCGTTCTTGATATCTCGAGCAGATGAGCAGGATTTTCTTCTTTCATCAGGTAAGGCCCTTCTCCTTCATAAATCTTGCCAAAGAAACCCAGAAAGAAATTATTGATACTTTGAATTAATCCATGATTTTGAGGGGGCTTTGCATGTGCACGCGAGATAAATGTTTTAATCATCCTCATTCCTTCATCTTTCTTGAACCTACAGCTCATTAACACATGCAGGACTTCAAAAGGTAACTGATTTTCAAGTAAGAAAAGATCACGACGAATGAAAGCTATATCATGGCTCTTCATCTGCAGCTGCTTATAGTTGCCAGTGACAAGGCAGTGAATATATTGGAGAATGAAACAGCCATCCAAGAACATCATCTTTGCAAACTCCTCGTCGCTGTAATATTTAGTTATGTCCTCAGCATAGCAGTCCCTGACATTAGGGACAATGTTCTTCACCATTTTGTAAAGCTCATCAATGGACACTGATTTTGTTAAAAGCCATGGTAGTTTGGTGCTTTCTTGATCAGCAAACTGAATTGCCAGCATCTCCTTGTACTTCTCCATAGGTTGAAGCTTGGATTTTCCATGGTGAAATGGACCGAGAGCAACCACAAGGGGCTCATAGCACCATACATTTGATTCAATCTCGCGATGCATTTTAGGGACCATGTGTATCTTTGGCTTCTGTGATGAGCCAATGGTGGGGTACTCGCTGCTCTTCTCTAAGGATTTTAGCCATTGTCTCGCATTTTCACTGATTTCATGAGAATCTGAGTTTGACTCTTGAATTGTAATGTTCCATTCATCTTGAATTGTAATGTTCCATTCATCTTGATGATTGCCAATTTCTTCTCTAGTAATCATTGTTTCTTTAGTAGATTGTTCATCCATTTTTACTGATTTCTCATCAAATTAAGAACCTCAATCTTGATAATTGTAATTTGTATACATTTGTTTAATCTACTTATAAGACTAGCTAGTGAAAGAATAAAAGTTTTCTTTTACTTTAGGCAAGGTGATTTCTCTTCTTTTAGTCTAAAAGGTGGATTATGTGTTTTCGATGTGCCAGATGGTTATACCCAGGGAGAAAAAAAGTGAGAGCCAGAGGCCGGCAGCTCAACAGATGTGGTGGCCTAAAGTCAAATCTCAATAAGAGGCCTTAAATTTATTTAATACTATTAATATTTTTGTAACAATTGTGTATGGAACCTTTATATCTTGATGGTTCATCGGTTATATACTGGCTTCCACCATTTGAGATACTTGTTAATTCAACTCATTAAGACTGATATAATATTTTTTTAAGAAACATATATTGATGATTAAGATAGTATTTTATAAATTCTCATAATCTAATAAACTCAATCTTTTACCACTAAGTAAATAACAAAATAATTTCATATGTTTTGAATAATTCAATTCTATTTTAAAGTGATGAAATAGCTTCATCGATTCTTTATAAAAATAATAAACTCCAAAAGATATTACAAGAGACTTTATCTTTTTTAATTATCAAAGTCATCATTAAATTATTCATTTTTATACATTGCATGTTTATTATAAAATTCATATTTCAAAAAATAAAGTGTAAAATCTGATCACTTTTACTATAAATTTATAAAATGTAAATAATATATATAAATATACAATTTTGGGGCCTTCAACTTTGGAAAATGACACTGTATAGCCCCATTAAAAATATTAGCCAAAAAATATAAATTTTGTATATATATATATATATATATATACTAGTATTAGAACCCGCGCGATGCACAAATCGTTTAAAAAAATACTAATAATTTCAAATTATGATCTTTGTTAATTGAGCATATTAGATCACATTGCTTCGAAAAATAAAAATTCAACTTCCATTTTGATTTTAAATATAATATATCTAATAAAAAATCTATATGAAATTAAACATATTATAATCGTATAATATTTTATTTCTTATATATATATATATATACATTTTTTAAATCTATTTTGATATTATCAAAAGATCACTGCTTGAATGACTAAACAATTTTAAAGAAGAATACACATCAAATATCCCAATTTTCATGCGATCATACTGAAAACTGACTTCTTGGAAGCTCGTTATCTAATAAAAGATAATGGAGAACAGAAAGAAATTTTTCTTAAGTCCACTTGATAAGTCCTAAGATGAAATTGTAATTCTAAATATAAATTGTAGAATCTCACTCATGGATCAATCCACCTACCCCGCAACTCTCTTAGGGCTAGTTCTTTTAGCAAACACTTATTACCAAAATTTAAGCAAAGTAAGCATATGTCACGACCCGGATTTCCCACCCTCGGGAGTTGTGATGACGCCTACTAATGTGAGCTAAGCAAGTCAATTCTTAACTGCTACTTCATTAACAAATTACTTCTTTTGACAATTATCAATAATATTATGAAAACAACGGAATTAAATAAATATGCAGAAGACGTAAATTAAAGAAACTGAACAATAATGCGGAAATCAACATATGCCTCTATCCAAGAACTGGTATCACATTACTCACGAACTTCTAAGAGTACTAAATACAACCGTTTGAAATAAAAATATATATTGTTTGTCTCGGAAACATGAGATAACAGACTGAAATAAAAGATAGAGGAGACGCCGGGCCTGCGGACGCCTGCAACCTCGGTGTCTCACTGGACTGGCTCCCGCGCTACTGCTGCTGTCCAAGACCTGGATCTGTGCAAAAGAGTACAAAGTGTAGTATCGGCACAACCGACCCTTTGTGCTGGTAAGTGTCCAGCCTAACCTCGGCAAAGTAGTGACGAGGCTAGGACCAGACTCCAAATAAACCTGTGCAGTTCACATATATATATATATATATATATATATATACAGCGGAAAAAAGATACAGGAATAACCAGTCAATGCGGGTAGGGGAAACATGATGTGGGGGTGAATATAGTTCCGAATAGAAATGCATCAAGTAAGGAAGGAAACAACATAACTAGAATATCAATAAGGAAGCAGAAATCAACAATTTGCACGGCATCTCCCTTCGTGCTTTTACTCTCGTTCTCAACAAAATAATACACGATATCACCCTTCGTGCTTTACGCACTTCCTCACCCAAACAATCACAAGACAAATATGGTAAGAAAATCTAATACTTCGAAATAATCAAATAACAGCAAGTAATGAAAGAAACAACATAACTCGGATATCAACAAGGAAATCAGAAATCAACAAATACACGGCATCACCCTTCGTGCTTTTACTCTTTTTCCTCACCATATAATCAATAAAATCGGCACGGAATGGTACATAGTGAGGCACAACATCACCCTTCGTGCTTTTACTCTTTTTCCTCACCATATAATCAATAAAATCGGCACGGAATGGTACATAGTGAGGCACAACATCACCCTTCGTGCTTTACACTATTTCCTCACCATATAATCAATAAATATTGGTACGGAATGGTACATCGTACGGCATGGCATCACCCTTCGTGCTTTACACTCTTTCCTCACAATATAAAATAATGCACGACATCACGCTTTGTGCTTTATCGCTCTTCCTCACCCAAACAAAAATCACAAACAAGGGTCAAGAGATTAAACAAATAATAATAATAGAAATCCTGGCAAGGGAATACAATTAAACAGCTAAGTCCCGGCAAAGGAATAATATCAATAAATCTCAATATCCCGACAAGGGAGATATTCAACAAAAGCACAAGCATCCCGACAGGGGAACAATTCAATAACTCTTTCTCTTTCTTTCACTTCTTACTTTATAACTCACTTTACCACTTGAGCCAATGCTCCAAAAGGTTTCATTTATCTCATATACTTTCACAATTCATATTACCACTCGAGTCAATGCTTCTCAAAGTTCAAAGATCACAATTTCTTTCACATCCTTTTTACAACATATAGAAATCATCATTTAGGCATGAAAGATACAACAAGATCAGAATATCCACAATATAAAGACTCACGATCATGCTAGACACCAACGTATAGATACTCGTCACTATGCCTATATGTCGTACTCGACAGTTAGCACGTAGGAAATAAGACTCAACTCCTAATCCCTCAAGCTAAGGTTAGACCAAACACTTATCTCGAAGCTTTGAACACCACTCAAGCCTCAATTATAGCTTTACCCCCTTGATTCCACCACCATTCCGCTCGAATCTAGTCACAAGTTACTTAATTACATCAATAGGTGCTAAATGAATCAACCCCAATGCATGCAAATGAGTTTTCTCAAAGTTTTACCCAAAAAGTCAAAAATCACCCCCGGACCCACATGATCAAAATCCGAGGTTCGGACCAAAACCCGATTACCCATTTTCCCATGAATCCAAATGTATAGTTTGTTTTTAAATCGGACCTCAATTTGAGGTCCAAATCCCCAATTTTGGAAAACCTATGTTCTACCCAAAACACCCAATTTCCCCCATGAGAATCTTTGATTTTAAGTTGAAACCATGCTAAAAGATGTTAATGATTGAAGAAAACTAGTAAAAACTGACTTACAATTGATTTGGGGAAGAAAGGTTGTTTGAAAAATCGCCTCTTATGTTTTTTGGGGTTTTGAAAAGTGAAAAATAACTAAAAATCCCATCTATTTATACCCCTCTCAGACCCTCACCGCGGACCGCATAAAAAGGACCGCGGCCGTGGAGCTCCACCGTGGACCACATTAAACGGACTGCAGCAGCACAGGCCTCCCTGAAGACCTGCAGTTCAGCACCCTGTGCGGACCACACAAAGGCAACTGCGGCCGCAAAGCCTCCAACGCGCCCCACACAAAAGCGACCGCGGCCGCGCTGGCCCCTCCGCGGTCTCACGCGATTTCTCGCGGACTTCACTAAAGGGTTCAGAGACCTGCAACTTCCCGAACCTGCAACTTTTACAAGGTTAAAATCATTCTGAACACTCCCGAGCCCTCGGGGCTCCTAACCAAACACATGCACTAACTCAACAACATCATACGAACTTATCCGTGCGATCAAATCGCCAAACTAACCTCAAAAACTATGAATCAAACCTCAAAATCAAAAGTTTTTCCAAAAACATCATCAAGTTCAAATTTAAGATTTCAAGTCCGAAACACGTCAAACGACGTCCGATTTTAACCAAACCTTACATAAACGTCTTAAATCACATATAAGACCTGTACCGGGCACCGGAACCAAAATACGAACCCGATACCAACACGTTCTAATCAATTTTCATTTCAATTTTCCTTAACAATTTCAGAAAAACAAATTTACTCAAAAATTCATTTCCCGGGCTTGGGACATCGGAATTCGATTCTGGGCATACGCCCAAGTCCCATATTTTCCTACGGACACTCCGGGACCGTCAAATCACGGGTCCAAGTCCGTTTACCCAAAATATTGACTGAACTCAAATTTATTCATTTTAAGCTCAAAACTTAGCATTTTTCACAAAATTTCACATTTAAGATTTTCGGCTATGTGCCCGGACTGCACACACAAATCGAGGCAACTCTAAATGAGGTTTTCAAGGCCTCGGAAGCATAGAATGGGTAAGGAAATAGGTGATGACCCTTTGGGTCGTCACATTCTCCACCTCTAAAAGAACCGTTCGTCCTCGAACGAACAGAAGAAGGAAGTACCTGAGTCGGGGAATAGGTGAGGATAACGGTTTCGCATGTCGGACTCGGATTCCCAGGTTGATGCCTCAGGAGGCTAACCTCTCCACTGAACACGAACAAAAGGTAAACTCTTGGATTTCAACTGACGAACCTGTCGGTCTAGAATAGCTACCGGCTCTTCCTCATAGGACAAGTCCTTGTCCAACTGGACACTGCTGAAATCTAACACGTGGGATGGATCGCCGTGATACCTTCGAAGCATGGACACATGAAAAACTGGATGCAT